CAATAATTTACTATCACAAGTATAGCATTAGTATTATTACTATCACCACTATCTGCGCAGATCGGATTTGAAAACGCTAATAAAATACTTAAAATAGGCTTCACAATAATTTCTATAATACAAGGCCAGAGTTTATGTAAACATAATATAAAGGTAAAAGTGCAGTTCACGTGCGTAATTATTTCTCATATTTTCGTATGTAGACTTCCGACTTACATCTACGTGTATTCATTTTTATTAAATTTTAATTATTGGTTATAGATTATAGTATAGTAGTTTTAAGTTAGGGGCCTCCAGTTCCATTTTAATGAGAATGAGTGTTAACAGTTAGTTCAATATAGATCTAATATTATGAGTTCAGTATACTTCAGTTTCAATATTTGAATACGACATTGATAATAAAGAAGACGCGTAAATTTTTATTAGTATTAGATAGATATTTCTGGCCCACAATTTTAAGTAACCATTTTAAAAATATTTCACTAAGATAAGAATATAAGGAAACTTGTTTTGAAATTACCTCTTCCTCTTCGAATAGGGCCAACTTGTTACAGGTTTCGTGGCATGCCCTTTAGGATTTTAAAAGCCAAAACATTTTTAAAGTCTCAACAACAAAGAAATCAAAATAAAGCAATTTAAAAAATGTAATAATCATTTCATTTTGAATTCAAATTTAAAATGTGTTTATTTAAAATCAAACAACTCCTAAAAACAAAGTTTTCATATAAATATTTTGATATCAGCGAAGCGATTCAGGTTCGCCTAAGACCATCGGAAAACACATAGACTCCACATTTATTAAGTAGCAACGAAAATAATTTTATAGTTGAGGGTGACAACAACAATAGGAACTGCATTAAAGGGTCGAGGCATTAGGAAGGTTGAGAAACCATTGATTTATAAATTTATATAATTTGAAATTTTGTTTGCATTATGTATTGTAAGTGATTTATCTATTATTCAGAATCTTAAGTGTTTATGTAAATGGGTAAACTTCTAGCGAAAACACGTTTCATATTTCATTCACTTTCCCCTTCAAAAATACATTTTAATTCTACTGCATACTCAAATTATTAAAATACGTCATAAGGGGGCGACCATTAATTATGTCAACAAAATATTGGGGGGGGGGGCTGGCGGTGGAATAAAAATTGATAACAATGGGGAAGGAAGAGGAGGGTAGATTAATTGACGTCAACAATCATGTTTTCTCTAATAAAACTTAATCTTAAAATTGACTGGTTAATAATTTTAATGAGTGTAAATAATCATATAATTTTTTGGCTTTTAACAATATTGACAATATAAGATTTATTTAATGTGTGTCTGTCTGTTGTTATGTATGACACTTTTTCCCCGTGCGTGAACTTTGCTTGACCCCTAACATACGCTACGTTCATGGATGGGCGTGGCCTATTCGTTTGATGTATCTTGTTTACTACCGGCTTCCAATTAAACATGGTTAGTAGGTCTACTAGTATCTTGTCGAAGGTTCTCGATGGTATTAGAAAAGTAAGGGCGTTTCTAGGCGCGTCGGTAGATCCACATATATAAGGAATTGACAGGCACAGAGGGGGGGACTGAGATTGATAGATATTTTTAACTTCACGAGACGTGTATTATTCTTTGTGTACTTGTATGTGTTTATTCGCATTGATCATTCATCATTATTCATTGGCACATTGAACTAACTGTGTGCCGGTATAAGATCTACCATACTGTTAGCTGATGATTTGTAATGATATTTCTTTTGTTTTGTAATTGTATTATCACTAATCTAAATCTTATTAATTGTGATTGGTATTGTTTTGGGTGTCGTACTTTTGTTATTTTATTTTTCTATGGTATCGTCCTTTGTTGGGCACTGTTTGAACGAGCCATAAATTTAAAATAGGAGATTAATTTGACACAATAGAAGCCAGTGCGTAACAGTGTGCACTGCAGATGCCTGGTCAGAATGTTAGCACACTTTGTTACTGCAAGAGAAGTCAAAAGTTGGCCTATCTTCGCCTGTAGATTCTGTTTGTCGCCAAATGACTAGGGCGGTATGATTGCGATCATGTTGCTGGTATGGAACAAGGACAAGGTTCAAGTGTCATGTGTTGATAGCGTAGGAATACGATATTTTGAGAATAAGGGGAAGTATAGTAACAATAATAATATCGATGCTTGATCGGTTTTGCAAAATCTGTAAAATTTATTTTGCATCACAATTCATGTTGAATAAAGTGGTCATGGGACTGATGCAGGCCATCTCAGCAGGCGCGTACCTCACCCCACAGAAGCCGGGTCGATTGATCAGAGCCAAACGCTCACTGAACATTGACTTCACCACTGACAACCCCACAAACAATTATAGCTGAAACAATAGCAAATGCTTCACCGTGCCTTGCTACAACACAGTGCAGTATAAACAATCTCTCTTCCCACGCACAATAATAGCTTGGAACCACCTGGACAATGCCACTGTGAACTCGACATCGGCATCTGTCGAGAGCTTCAAGGCTGCCCTGGCATCTGCTAGGAGCTGTTAGACTAGCAACACCATTCCCCCAACCGCTGCACAGATGCCAGTATATGGATGCAGCAACGAACACTACCAGAACCAGAAGAACCAGAAAAAGCATGTTTAACAGCACTGACAATGCACCATTTAGCTTAAGAAATTATCACCTGCCCCTCAACAAAAAAGGATTCGACCAATACGAGTAGCTGCCAAGAGACAGAGAGGACTTAGTAATTATTCATCACAGTGAACATGCTTCTATTTTAAGTGCTTAGTGGTTAGATGAGGATGATATTGACTTGTCTGGTATATCAGTTCCACAAGACGAAAATGATAAATCAGCTATTATTCCCATTTTTACGATAGAGCATCACCTGGCTACTCCATGGGAAGATGATAGCAGCTAGAAACGATACTACAATTGTCAGATATACTTACAATAATCATATTTATACTTCCATAAACAATTATATTTAGCTTCAACAACCTTTTAATTGATTCTGAATTATAAAATTTAAGTGTAAAAACTTTTTGACTTGTTGATTGACAAGCTAAAGATGTAATAAAATGTTTTTCCTACAATTGTATGTGTCATTTAAATGGATCAGCACAAAGTAAAATGTAGGTATGTATTTATTATTTTATTCCAATTCATTATTTTTTTATTTGGGGGAGGGTATAAAATGTTGATATAATTACTTGGCGGAGGGGTTCATTGAAAGTTTGACAGTTGTTGAAAGGGGGGAGGGGTAAAAAAATTGCGTAAAAATTGCTAACGTAATTAATGGACGCCCCTAAATGCTAAAATGCATTCTTGTATTTTGAATTTATAAAAAAGATTTAATTTAAGATGTCTTTGATTTATATGGCTAAATTTGGAGCTTCCCATCTGAAATTTTGAAACGCCACCTTAAAATTGTCTGAACGAAAATCAAATTCAAGTATGCGCCAAAATGCACGCCTGTACTTTGAGTTTACCCGACTGTCTTCAGCAACCTTAATTTCTGAACCCCCTTCCCTCTCGCTGATCAATGTTACAGTATTGGTTTGAATATAAGCGTGTGCCTAATGATTACTCGGGGACACGTCACAACCTACAGAATTCGGTTTATGTATGGCTCTGGACACCATAATGCCTCTACAAACCCTTAAAAATGTCCTTTCCAGTTCAAAAAGTATAATAGAAACATTGATTTCAATTATACCCCCTAACCCCCCCCCCCCCCCCCCCACC